AATTTTAGTATGTTTTTATGGATGATAACGACTACCAGTTGTCAAAATTTCAGCTTTTCACAGTTGTTATTTCTAACAAATATTAGGTTTTAAAATTTTGTCCCTTAGTTTTGGACGCTACTGTATATATATATATATATATATATATATATATAGATAGATAGATAGATAGATATGGCCCAGAAATGGATATATTTGAACGAAGTAGCTAAGTGGTTTTGGCTACTATAATCAAGTAGAATACGGTAGCAGTAATCGACTGGTACGCGTCGTAGTCGCAGGTAAGAAGTGTAGATCAATGGCGTAGTCCAATGGGCGTCGTTATAGACTTAGCTCTCAGACTAAAGCTCTTTGACTCTCCTACACGCCCGTCGGTATTTATGACGAAAATAAGCCAATCATATTCCACTGAGGGTCAACACAGGTGTACGCATATTCCATTATATCATATATATATATATATATATATATATATATATATATATATATATATATATATATAATTCATTCACATCTTAATGTTTCCTTTCTGTCATTCATTTAAGTGTCATACACGGTACATGCTTGGGCGATCCATTCATGATTGATTTTCCCGCAGTAGCTTGCTATTTCTGTAGTAGACTGGTTGCCAACCAAGGCTATATTACCCAGTCTGCCACGCTATTCATCCCATGGCTGTGGGGAGGAGATAGATTCATGACTTTGCCAAGGATATTTGTGCATAAGTGAATGAACCAGAATTCGAACTCGATCCTCCGATTTCCCATTCCGAGCCAATATCCATTACACCGCAGCGTACGTCCTTCACATTTGCGTATAATTATAATCGACGCTCGTTTTAGGTGCACTTCATACATACTTCTACCAATAAAAACTTTGTAGTGGACAAAACGCGTTAAAAAATTATTCTACTCTGTCATTCAATTGCCTAACTGACGCAGACACAGACACGCACACACACACACACACACACAGAATATATATATATATATATATATATATATATATATATATATATATATATATATATATATATATATCACACTAGCAGCATGGCCCGGCGTTGCCCGTGCTTGATTCAAAAATCGTACAACTATACAGCAATCGCAATCACTTGACTTAAAATATTTTTGCCCTTCCTTGCCTTTTTAAAGGAGTGTCCTTTGCGTGCTGATGTTGCTACATGCCTTACTTCTTGCCTGTCTCACACTGCGAATTTTTTCTAAGCTCTATACTAAACATTAAATCTGTTACGAAAAAAGAACTAAACAAAATGAACACAAAACGATCAGCTGTAAAAAAAAAAAGGACTCGTAACTGAAAAAACCGAATGAAAAAAGAATGTTAACAACAAATACTTTTTCACGCCTAACCCAGGTCTTCGGAATCAGAATCAACGTTGAGTTTAAGCAAGCGAATGAGCCAATTTGAGTAAAAGTGCCATGCAGATTTAAATTTTTCCACTTGTGACGAATGCAGCTATCGATTTTTTGCATGCTAGTATGCTAGTTAACATTCGTGTCAGTCAGCTGTTGGCTCTCACGCTGGCCAATAGAATCTTCCTGCCTATTCGTGGCAGCCAGCTATAGGCTCTCACTCTGGCCAGTAGAAAATGGCTGCAAACTACATGAAAACTGCCGTAGAAGCATGAAAAAATCGATTATTTCCACTATCGATGTGAGTTGGTAAATGCAAAGTCGGTTTTGGCCTTCCCGTTAACTTGGAGCACCTGCATGTAAATTTTGGTGCAAATCTGTCGAAAATTGCGGCCGTGCATTCGTTACACACGCACACACACACCCTGCCTTTTTTATAGATAGAAATCTTAAGACTATATTTCTTCATATATATATATATATATATATATATATATATATATATATATATATATATATATATATATATATATATATATATTTCTAGGTCAAACGTTATTGTCTTCGGTTTTTACTCTTTCTTCGCCACTCAACCCTGCCTTTGAGAATCTTGACTTTCTTCTCTTGGGTGGCAGCTGATCTAAGAAAAAACAACTCTGAATTCAAGACCGTGAGAAAGCAACTGGAAACCACTTCACTATCTTTCCCAACAAAACGATTCCTGGGAATGACGATAAACACCTTCCGACAGCAAGAGCCCTGAGAGGTTGATTTGAGGTTTTGAGGAGTGTAAAACCACCTCTTAACTGCAGTTGTTCCCATGTCGAACCTGACCAGGTGTGATAGTGTATGTTAGGATCCCAGCTATGGGTAAATAGCAAGCCCCAAACAAAAATCAACGACATTTTTATAATAAAATGAGCAACAATACATTTTTATAGCACAATGACAATCAATACAATACAAAATATATGAAAATACATTTTGATAGTAAAATTATCAACAATAAATTTTATGAAATGTCTAAAAACATAGCTTTACCCTTAGAGTACAAAATTATGTACAAGGTATCTGTAATTGAAAGCACAAAATTTCGTATGGGATATTTAGATGTTGGCATTAAACAACACATAAAGACTGATATGCCACTAAACAAAATCAACCAACCAACCAACAATACCTATGTATAGTCAAATGACCAATACATATTTAAATCAAAATGGCCGACATTTTATCTGTAGTTGATGTCATAGAGTTGCTTTCAAAATATATTTAGGTGAAGCCATAAAACTGTTCAAAATATTTAGATTTCGGCATTAAATAGTCCATGGTGTTTGATGTGCTGCTTATCAAAATAAACTGACCAACAATACCTATCTGTTGTAAAATTACCAAAAATATATATCTAAAGCAAAATGATCAACAATATATTTTATCTGTGGCGGAAGGCATACAAATGTGCTAAAAATATTTAGATACCGGCATTAAATAATCCATACGGGTTGATATGACACTAAACAAAAACTGCCAACTTAACAAGATATGGTATCTCAAAAAAGAAGGAAAAGAATCTATCCAAAGACATGATCACCTAAGGGAGTTAGGTGATCACCTCGTTGACATAGCATTAAAAAATCAGCTAAGTATCTTTTTTAGATGCTATCGTCCTACTGTTACGCCACAAAATAGATACGTGTTTATATCTCCAATTTGAACATCTTTATTGGACAACCACATTGTGTCATTAGCAAGCGCCCGGCCTCTTAGGGAACTGGAGCAGCTGAACAGGAATTGTCATCAACGAAAATACATTCAAATTGTTCTATGCTATAGTCACGTATTTCACAAACACGTAAAGAGGAACTATATACCACTTTTATTTCATTGAGAGACGGGTCCGTTATCCAACACACGAGACGGCTGGCGAAGTGTACAAAACACGTAGATGCATACTTCTGCCCGGATAGAGAAATGGAAGTGTCACGCTCCGTCTCTTATCTTGCTTCAGCTACACTTGACATTTTCTTCCTCTTGGTCAAGTGGCCACAGCAGGTCGGCTGATGGCTGATCAACTAGCGACCTAGTCGTTGACTTACTGACCGTCCTCTTCCTGGCGCTCAAATAAATAACATTTTCTTTTTTTCTTTTATAATGTTCATTTGATTGCCCGTGTTCTTTATAACGTCCTTTTGAATACCTCTTCTCGACCATCATAACCCGTGTCTAAGTTGCCTACTGGAAATCGGAAGTCAGCAAGCGCATATATTGTGGTTGTTTTCAACTAAATAGTCAATTGTTTCTCATTTCTAAACAGCCCGACTTTTCTGACTATGTATGCTAGCATATGAATAATATCTTGATGTATCTTGTCACAGTCTACTAATGTCACAACTACTATAGCTCATCTTGATATGTTTTCCGTGAATTGCCTATTTATGTTCTGTGTGAAAACTGAGTGACCAAAAATTGAAATGCAATGTCGATCGCTATCGCTGTCTTCCTGATTACTCTTTTCACTTCCTGCTCATTAGTAATATTCCTGTTCCTAATTCTTCCACACTCAGTAATCTCTTTACTGTTTTTGCTTGGTTTGAAATCGATTTAAAATATACCACGTGTAATATTAAAATGTTTCATATCGTGTAACAGTAAACTTTTTCAATTACTAGATTAAGCTTTGAACCATTGAATCTTAGAAATGATTAAAGATATCTTACTGGAACTCTCTGAGGTTTTTATAACACTATTGGACTCTACTTTCAACAATAAAAATACATTTTGCTCTAAGTTGAAATGATTATCATTCTTGCTGTTGTGACCTTCTGGTCCAGTTTTCCTCACTAGTGTCCCCTTTTTTTTAAACTTATTCACCGACTCCTGATAGTTCTTGAATCGACTTTGAAGATGGATGCCAGAGTTTGAATGTTGGTACCATTACTGAAGGCCTGCATGATCTTTTCCTTTCACCATTGTTCAGTTAGGAAGACAAAGTGGGACTGACACAAAATGATTTAACCTGTCTAGTTCTAGCTGAATAACTCAAGGCGTTTTTCCGTGATTCTTACAACAAATGGTATCAAGATAGTTTGTCATATTCGAAAACCTGGAAAAAAGAAACTAAATTAGTTTAGCGTTTTTTTTTTTTAGATATTAAACATTTTGTGGGGTGGGGGGCAATTATCCCATGCTGTTACACGATTTGGACATTTTTTCTCTTACATATATATATGTATATGTATGTGCGTGTGTGTGTGTCCATGTCTATGGTTCAGAGAGATAAATGAATAACCTTGACTGTTCCTTATATAAAGGTTAGTTGGGTCAGATAAGCTGTTTTTTGAGAGTTGTTCAGATTGGTCAATAAATCTAAGAAAGGCATTTCTTTTCCAACTATAGCAACCTATCTGGATGTTACTGGCTGAATCCTTTGAAGACCGATTTAGAAGCTTTTAGTTTAAATAAGATTTTTTTTTATTAGCTCTAAAACAATTACTTGGCAGATTTGAATTCGGATTTCCTTCAATTTAGTACAGTCTAAATATTAGTATTATGAGGCAGAATTGTTTAAGGTTTTGTCTATGTTAGTTTTGGAATAGATGATACAAGTTCAAATCTTTTCCGCTTACAGCTTTATCACTTTGAAAATACCAATTCTCGCATGATCACCAAAGTTAAGCAATGTTGAGCCTGATCAGTACCTAAATAGGTGATCACTTGAGAATACCAGGTGTTGTAAGCTGAGATGTTGGAAGTGTGGCATAATGAATAATGGCTAAGAATTGGAAATTGGTGAGCCAAGTTTCAATTCCAAACCAGTTTGTTACATTCACTTATGCAAATATGCTGGGGAATGGTATGGCTCCATCTCTTCAAATCCCAGCTATGGGTTAATTAGTAACACTTGTATCAGTAACTTGTTATTATTTCCAGAACAAATATTACAGTTTCTGGCTTTAAATAACCTGCAAAGGGTTGATAAAAAGCAAATCAATCAGATCTTCTTGTAAGCTATTTATTGACTCCAATCTTACACTGGTTGTTTGAATCTTCAACATTCTCCTTCTATGTGCCATGCCATGTCAGGACGTGGATGATTTACTTTGAACAATAAGTTTAAAGTTCTTTTCTTGCACAGTCAAGATAAGTTCTTTTCTTGCACAGTCAATATCAGTGATGCAATTTTACACATGATGTCACTTATATGATATGTGCAGGTTTGAATTAAAAAAATACACAAAGAAACCAGAATGTAGATCATATTTTTTATAACTCTTAGTAAGGTGCATCTTTTCACCATCATTCCCACTGTATGCCCTTCCACCTATTTATACAAATTTCTTTGGTATGTTACTTGCTATTTCCCTCTATCCCTCTTACCTTCTGTATTTCCTGTGAGTAACAAATTCTCCAAGCCCTCTTTCCACATTATGTCCCCTAGATATTTCAGATATTTTCTTTATAATTATATGTGTTTTTTTTTCATTTTCTTTAAAACTTTCTCATTACTGATATGTAATTCACAGCAGCCATCTGTAGAACAAGATCTCTGTTGTCCCAAATCTCTAGGAGATTGTCCAGGATTCACTGTTACTGAAGAGAACAAGTGAGAAGAGTGTTAGAAGAAACTTAAACAAGATCGTCAGTTAGTTTCATTTTTTTTACTGTATTTTACAATTTGCAAATAAGTTATACATCTCAATCAAAACTGAATAAATCAAAGTTTATGTATATTTTTTTCCTTTCAAGTACTTTCTACCATCTATCATTATCAAGATTTGGATATTACCATTATGCTAGACAAGACTTTTCTGGCTGCATACTGACATTAATGAATTTAAATAAGAATATCAACAGAAATAAAATGTTTGCTATATTTTTTTCTGGTGCAGTCAAATGATGTAACATAATATGTGCTTGTTGTAAATAAGAGATGGACTGCGACATTTCTTTACAACACCATATTCATTTACAGCCTGTTCTCTGGATTATGACAGTTAGCCATATTTGAGAATACCAGGAACATGTGTGATGTGAACCCCGCTTGTATTTTGCCAAATAAAGCTTTGGATGAACCTATCTTCCGAGTCTCAGTCTCTATTCTTGACAGCACCTATTTTAATTAAATTTTATTTGTAGCATATCAGGTATATGGAGTATCTCAGCAATACTTCAGGTCATGTGACCTGGATTATTTGGTCCTAATGCTTCTCATTCTGCTGCTAACTTTAAGACAGGATGTGGTAAATGATCCACTTGTGATCAAACAGTACAGTGCTTGTTTCTGAAGTTCTGCAGTTGAGATACAAGTCTTGAAATTCAAGGTGGTAACAGACGTCCATCTGCAAATTGACAATCAATATCAGAAAACACTAGTCAAACATAACCCATGTGAAAATGTCAGAGAAATGTCTCAAGTAAATGGGTGTCAGCATTTTAACAATATTTAGACTGTCTAAAAAAAATTGGCAAGGTGAAGAAACTTGATAAATGGGTTCCACATGAACTCAGTGAAATCCAAATGATCCATTCCTTGATCAAATACTGACTAGGATGATGATGAGGAATGGATCTTTTATGACAGTCATAAATGATCAGCTCAATGACTTGATCATGATGAAGCAACCAAACACTTTCCAAAACTAAACATGCACCAACTGAGGATTATGGTAACTGTCTGATGTGCCACCATTGACATTATCCATTGCAAATATCTGAAATCAAACTGGAGCATCACTGCCAAAGTTTGTTGCTAGAAACTGGAAAAAAAATATACATTCCAATATGCAAAATGTGATTGGCATTGGTTAATCAATAAGGTTCAATTTTGCTTCATGAAAATGCTTGACCACAGTTGCTAGGATTCCTCATCAACTATTACCTTTTCAAACATCTTCAGAATGTTTTTAATGAAAAAATATTCCATTATAAACTGCATTCAAAAATTACTTGGCATTCAGACCTTTATTGTAAAAAGCATAAACAACATTTGACCTTGATGAAAGAACTGTATAGATGTTCAAGGACTAATTTAAACATTGTTTAAATACATTAACTCAGGAATAAAAGTAGATTCTAAAATCAGACATTATTTTCTGAACAACATAATAATAATAATAAGTACATTCTTTTCTTGTGCAGTCAAGATCAGTGATGCAATTTTACACATGATTTCACTTATATGATATGTGCAGGTTTGAATTAAAAAAAAAACACAAAGAAACCAGAATGTAGCCAAAAAATATTTTCCAGCCTACTCATAACATGTGATAGTTGAAAGTACTTGAAAAAAAGCATTTCATGCTGATGAGTCCATTACACAATGCGCTCATAGGTGCAGCATGTTGTACTGCAGCTGCTCCAACAGTGATTATTTCTAAGGCAAGGCAGAGACTCTTCCTCTTCAGGCTGGTTTTGCATTCAGACTTCTCTTATCTCTAGGCTGGTTGCTACCCAAAGATAGAGAACTCAGTCTGCCCTTCTATTTAACTGATAGCTGGTTGTTAGGGAATACATGAATTCCTGCCTTTCTCCTAGAACATTTGTGCAAAAGACTAGCATGGAATCTGAACTTGGTTCACTGATTCCACTCTTGGCATGACGATAAACATTACATTATCTGTATATCTTTTGCACATTTCATTAAAAAGGGATTTGAGGAAGGAATTTCTTATTCCTTAAATAATAAGAAAGAATTATAATTTTTGATAATTCATATTTACTTTTTTGAGTTCAATTCCTGGAACAATATAGTAATAACTTTAGTTATAATTATAATTATTTTGATAAAATTACTTATTTACATAGGCATCTTTTTGTGGAGCTTTCTCTCTAAATACTTTAGATATTTTTATTCTTATTTTATTTATTCTTTATGTTAGTGTTTATCTACCCAACTCCACCAACTAGTATGCCTTACTACAGTTCAATCAGTGCATTACCCAAAACATGTCATTTTTTATCTATTCATTACAGCTATGTCTTTTTTCTTTTGCACTGTGTGTGCGTGTATGTGTAAGTGTATGCTTATGATTTTCTTTCACTCCAAACACTTTATGAAGATATTACCTTTCCATATGAAAACAATGGAAAAATAAAAGACAAAACATAGAATGGAAAAATGTAAAATGTAGCCTTCTGGAATGTCTTAGTTCCTATGTGTCTCCAACTCAGAGAAGCCAATCCATTTCCTCTGTGACATACTGCTTCCTCCATACTCAAAATTGATAGGACTGTAAGAAAGAATGTCTCAAATTTGTTATCTCTGAAATGTCTATTCCATTACAGTTTCTATAATTCCCTTTTACTCCTTTGACCAAACGATCTTTTTTTTTTTTTATTTTAGATTTTTTGCTTTGTGTTTAAAAAACAAAAAAAATAAAATGAAAAAAAAGTATTTGTTTCACCCTGACATAAGAATTCTCTTCACAGCCATTGTATCTATGCCAACATATCACAAATAAGTTCAGGTATTATTTCGAAAAAAAAATCTGTAAGTGAGGTTCTGTTATGCATCATGTTCCCTCATAATATGAGAGGTCATGGCTCTCTACAATTCAGACTAACTCCACCAGTTCCAACCTTCATGGCTAAGATCTGCCATGCCTCGCACATTGCTACAAACTATCCCCATTTCCTTCTTATTCCACTGCTGAGATGTAAGTTCTACACCAGCAGCCTCTTCCCATGAACTGCGGCTTTTTGAAACTAGCCCCCAAGAGAATGCTTTCCTTATCAATACAATCTTAGCCTATTCAAGTCTAGCGTTAATCATTAGCTTACCCACATATCACTATAAAATGTGTATCTTACTCTGTGAACTTCTACTTTGAGTGGCGCTTGAGGTATTGTACACAGTGAACATCACTGTAAAAAACAAAAAAAGAAAATATTGCTCCTTACTCTGTTTTCCATCCACTGTTCTTCCAACTATTTTCACATGCTTGTTAGGTAGCTTACTTAAAATTTCCCTCTGCTCTTCTAACATTCAATATGTCCTGTTATTATCATATTCTCCAAGTCCTCTTTCCTCATTATGTATCCCAAAAATTTTAACTATCTCTTTGTGGTTCTAAGTATAAGAGTTCTCTTTGTTTACATTTTCCTTAAAACTTCCTCATTACTCACATATTCAGTCCATGGTATTCTCAGCATCCTTCTGTTGACCTACAATTCTGTTTCTTAAAGCTTCCTCTTCATCACTAAGGAAATTTTCCAACTTTCACTGCCAGTGATGAGGACTGATATTACAGAGCAATTTAGTACTTTTATTCTTTGTTTCCCATGAAATGTTCTTGTTTCATATTTAACTGTTTGGAGACGGAGCCTCATTTTGATTTTTAGTGTCAAGAAGACAGAAATGTTTTCACAAGTCCTCACTTGGAACACAAAAACAAAAACGATATAAAATCACAGAATATAGCAAAACTGTCATTGAAACCACCATTGAAAGGCCCAGATGTGCAAGAAATGTGAGAAGGAATCTGATTGGCTGGTACAAAGACCAGCCAGCCAATTTTGAGTCTTGTGTTATCAGGCCAATGGATCAGCCTAGTCGTGTTCTTTATCATTCCACCTTTCAGCTGATAGATCAACCCTGTCATCTCCTAAGTGTTAAATATCTAAGAAGTATTTTAACAAAGGACTGAAAATATGATACCAAAATTGAAAGTTGCATTGTGATAGCAAAAGATGTCTTTCAAAAGGTAAGCAAAGTATTAAGAAACAGGAAAATTATTGT